AAACAAAAGAAAAGAAATAAAAACGAAATACGAATGAAACAAAACAAAAGAAAAGAAATAAAAACGAAATACGAATGAAACGAAACAAAAATAATCAACATAAAAAAATAATAATGCTAGGTATGAAAACGATGTACATAAACGTAATACCTAAACAATGTATAAAAAAGAAGAAGAAGAAGAAGCGAAAAACGAAAATCATTTTAAACTTTTGCTGACGTGAGATAAAAAATAATAATACCCATAAATAGCAAATGCGTAGTGAGTTTTTTATTTCAATGACTCAATCACAGCCTTAGTCCGAAAAACCAGAATGTTTGACTAAAGGCAAAACTCTTTCAAAATATCGTAATTTTTTTTTTTTTTTTTTAATTTTTTTTTTTTGACGTACATTTTACGGGTATGACAACTCTCAGAGTTTCAAATATTTCCTACCGTACAAATCTTAGGTGCTAACAAACGAGGCAATGATTCGTAAATCATGTATATAAATAGGAATAAGAACTCTTACCGTTGATATAAGATGGTACGATACACAATAGTGTTAATCCCACAACAAGCATCATCTTGAACTAAGGAACCACTTGGTGAATTTGAAACAGAAACTGCGCCCTTTTATAGGGTAGATTTTGAAAAAAGGTTACAGCTGATTCATCATTTTGTAGAATAACATGATGAAAAACGTGAAGATGTTACAAGCTGCGTATGCATAGATGTCAAGTGTTAATACAGGTGAATATAAACAAAACAATTATGTCGACCCTTACTGTCCTTGCATGCAATTTTATCACTTAGATAAGATTAAAGGTCCGGGTTTTTTCATATAAAATCTGTTGAAGTTGAAGTTTATTGGCAAAATAATGGAGTAATATGGAAGACACTAATTAGAGCATCCGAGCATCCGGGCAATTGGGCATCCGGGAACCTAGAGAACCCATATATTTATAGACCCCTTGCAGCACGTTGAAAAGTTTATACTCGATTTGGAGGACATGATAATAGGTTTCCAATTCTCTGGAGACGGAAATTCTTTTGTTTTGTCCTCCAAGTTGAGCTGCTTTGACGTTACATCCAAAGGGTTTTATTGGTTTCAAGTTGCCATTAATAAAGATTTTCGTCTTCATCCCGTTAAAGTTCAACGTTGTGTCAAGACTATTGAGACAGTTGATTCTAAACCAAATACACTTGCACGGCTGCATATCGCTTTCCCTATTCAACAAGTGAATAGTGGGTGAAATTTAAAATATCCGTATGATGAGCTTTGTATGATCCTATGTTTTATTCTGTCGTAAAACCAGTAAGGAATAATACTTTTATAAATTGTATTCGTCTTGGGGCAATATTTTCCCCCTTTTTTTTAAATTTCTTTTTATTTTTTATTTTTTATTTATTTTTAATCATTTTATTTATATTTATTTTTTTTACAGTCCATGTTTTATTCCAACAAAAGAAGACACATCAATATGAATGAGACTCAAACAAAAGAATCTAGGGAATCACATGTTATCAGAAATGGCTAAACAATACACCAAGATGAATTTGTCATATTTGTTAAAGGGATTTTATTCATTTGGCTCGTGAAAAATATTTTACATTAAAATTGAACGATAAAAACATGTTAAAAATGTGACGTTTCGACGTTGCACAACGTCATTATCAAGTCAAAAATGAACAAGAAAAGTAGAATATATCTGATTATGTTGTTATTATATATCTATTTTATATCTATTGTTATTATTTCTATATATATTCTACTTTATTCTTTCTTCTATATTATTCAGTTTTATTATAAAATGTTTAAATCGTGAAAAATAGTAAGCATTATACATATTCAATTCACAAATTAAAATAAGGTTGCATCTGCGTTTTTATTCACATGTTTAGACCATCTTCAGGGTTTAAAATGGCACGTTCAAAATCTGTTTAAATAATTTACGGAAAGCGCGTTATCCATAGAAAATAACGACAACGCAGGATTTAAAAGGAGAACTTTGTACTGTACGTTCTGGACCAATCAGAATCAAGTGATTTTATATATCGACTGTACTATATCAATATATGTTTTCGATTATCATACTTCACAATCGAATTCTGCCCGAAAATAATGCAATACTTGTGCTATATTTTATGTACACTCCTACTTCTACTAACTTAAAAAGAAAAAGAGGAAAAAAAGGGGAGGAAAAGGAAGGAAATGCGAAAGAGCACTATTTCTTATGTCATTGTTCCCTTATTACGTCTTGACACCATTTATTTAAAAACCATTTTCGATGCTGATGACTCAATGTTCCTCCTAACTAAATAACCTTGCACACAACTAGAATAGTTTAGTAACAAACTAATTTCTTAACGCAAGTAACAAAGGCTATATATTTTGTAATCAATCCTTTGTTTTCTTATTATGTCGTGACACCACTTATTGAAATAAAATTTGATATAGATGGCGCAAAATATTAAAAAAAAAAAAATAGTGCCCACAACTAATTTAAACTGTTTATTGACAATTTAATTTTTGGTCTACCCAAAATAATGATTCCGCTTTTGCTAGAAATTACGTATACTTCTAGTTTTACTTTTCAAATAAAAAAAGATGATAGAACTTTAATCATTTTCATGTTACCAAATGCATCCCCGCCAATCGATTCTTTGTTTTATTATTATTACGCATTGTGCCACTTATTCAAAATTCGAAATTTCTTTCAATATTTTTTACTTTTCGATACCATGCGATGCTGTTGGCGCAGTTGCATCAAAAACCTACTACACACAATTAGTTTTTGTAACAATTTATTTTGTTAACACAAGAAATAAAGGATATTCAGTTAACAAAAAAATCGCACAATCTTAGAGTACAATGTGGAATTTATAGGTACGAGTGATGTTTTGAAAGTTTTCAAAATTGGACGAGATTTCGAGATTGTGCGGTTTCCTATAACATTAATTTCTCGATGCCATGGGATCGATGATTAAGTCGCAGTGCATCAAAGAACGTACGACACACAACAAGTCCTATGTTTTGTTAACACACTTATTTTTGAAGGCATGAAACAAAGCTTGTTGATACCATAAACCGCGCCCAATATGGCGGCAATTACATCAAATACAACCACACAATAACTTGTCAGCAGGAAAAGGTCAGAAGATCATTAATAATGTATCAGTTTCTTCTACTTCGTAATTAAAACTATATATTTTCTTGCGTACATATCTAAAATTTATTTTCGAAGACTATTAGTTTTAACTGTCAGTTTTCGTACCGAGAACCAAAAATGATTGCCCTTCACTTATTACTTTTCATGGAGTTCATCTTCAAAGCTGGTAAGTTCAGTTCACTTATTACTTTTCATGGAGTTCATCTTCAAAGCTGGTAAGTTCAGTTCACTTATTACTTTTCATGGAGTTCATCTTCAAAGCTGGTAAGTTCAGTTCACTTATTACTTTTCGCGGAGTTTATCTTCAAAGCTGGTAAGTTCAGTTCACTTATTACTTTTCATGGAGTTCATCTTCAAAGCTGGTAAGTTCAGTTCACTTATTACTTTTCGTGGAGTTCATCTTTCAAAGTTGGCTAGTTCAGTTCAATTTCCACTGATTGCGTTAAAAGTCGTTGCAACCTAATTCAAAGCATTTTTTTCAACTTTTAGTAAATTGACGCTTGTTTCCCAAATGTCACAGCACATTTATTTGTAGTTTGGGATGGTGTAAATGAATTTTAATTTCAATGCATTTATTAACTCGTTTAGCCGACTTTTAAAAAAAATCATAATAAATTGTAATATAGTATCTTACGTTTGAAACTCTTCAGTCTCAATTTGCTCTCCCGAAAGAAAAGAGTTTGGAGCTCCCATCAATGATACGGTCCTATCCGGTCCAGTTCTCTATTCCTTTACTTCTGCAGGCGAGATCTCGTGCCAGTACAACTGTCATTTTCATTCCCTCTGTTATCAGTACAACTTTCACTCTGCAACCAACCGTTGTGAGCTACTTGGGCGCTCGACCGATTTAAAGATCCAAAAAAAAGATGAATGGAAAGTTAGAGTACAAAAGGTAAAAGTGTTGTGTCATTGCGCAAACAAATTACCAAATTTTTGTGCAAGAAAATCATTTTTCTGAACATTTTTTGACGTTGAACACCAAAAAGTCACTGTTTTGTAAACAAGCTTTCTTATCTGATATATCATTAACATTACCCTTTGGAAGTTATCGAAGCAAAGAATATAGAGCTTTATAGTACACTCAACAAAATTACTCGACTCTGATTGGTCGAGAGGAGTACAATTATAGCGTTAATTGTACTCCGTAGGAGTACSGAATTAAGTCGCTATGGCAACAAGGCCAAAACAATTATTTTCTATCATTTTGTACTTTAAAAACATATAAAATTTTAAAGCCGTAAGAACTAATCTTTTTTATGCATTTCAGTTGCGCGATGGACTGAAAATCGGCCGCCAAATAGACAAAGATGAACGGCGTCGCTTCGCATTTTTTACTGAAATTTTGTTGAGTGAACTATAAACAAAAGCCTCGTGCCTAAAGAATCGTGCAATTACAAGAACTTTCAAAACATTACTCGTGTCTATTAATTTCCAAATTGTACTCGAGATCGTGCGATTTTCTATACAAATCCAATAACACATGGTTTAATTTTGAAGGTTTCGAATTGACATAATATAAGAATGAACATTCAAAAAAGAAAAAACTATTAAATAAAGGATCAACAACAAGGTGCACAAAATCAGCAGTAACGGGTCCCACACTTTCCTGGCTCTAATCGAAATTGTATCAATTTTTAGTGCGATTCCAGCGTTTGTCATAATGGTGGTACATGCTTGAATGTTGGAATCAAGTGCATGTGTCCTTATCCATGGAGTGGAGACATTTGTGACAAACAAGGTATTACTTTGGATTTTCAATTCGGAGATTGTAAGTTTTTGTCTATTTTCAGCGGTCTCACTGATACAAATGTAAGAGAACTGATTAGAAAATTACGCATTTTAGCTGCCTCGCTGTACTCCCACGACATGAAGATACTCTACTTATTTATTCTTGTTTCACTGTACTATTTCACCGTTGCCGCGCTAATTTCGACCCTTTAGAGAGTTTCGCTAGATCTGCTCCCATACCGATACCTATAGAACAGTGAGTACAGTGAGACCGATGAGTGAGAATAGAATACAACTAACAACGGAATCGTAGCCCATATTAAATGGAAAAAAAATTGGATCATAAAAGAATAAAGTATACTACAGGGCTAACCGAAAAACCGTGGGCACTTGGAAATATCCCTACAATGTTCTAACGTTCATTAGCCAATCACAATTGACTTTCTAACCACAAGATAACGGAAAATTAAAAATAAAGCTTCCGATTGGTTAAGAACATTCTTGACATATTTCTAGGCGCCCACGGTTTTTCGATTCGCACTGTAATCTGTAAGGTGAAGAGACCGCTCGCAAACATTGTATTCCGCTTAACCGTGTCGAGTGTTATACGAACCTTTTATTTATGTTTACTTAATTAAAGCTACGTATACAACCATAATAACGGACCCAATAGCGCAGCGCACTGATTCTAAAAATAG